CCGCAAAGGGCGCCCCGCCACGTCCGCCCCCCCGCCCCCCCCACCCGCCCAGGCCCTTAGAGGGCTGGGGGGGCAAGCTCCCCCAGCAAGGAAAAGAAGAACATTGAAGAAGACAACGCTTTCAAACACCTGCGTTCTAAAGGGCTGAGTTGGGCCCGCGCGGCCTGCGGTTTTCTCGGGGCCCCCAGGCGCGGCCCGTGCTCTCTGTTGGCGCCATCGAGGCTCGAAGTCGGCGAGTGCTGGAGGTGCCCCCCCCTGCCGTGCGATTCGATATCAGTTCGTGGCTTCGCCGGGCCCGATGCCGCAGCGCGCCCGCGGCGCCGACGCGGTCAAGGCCAGGCTCCAGCAGGGGCGCAGGCTTGCAGAGAGCGAGGCGCCAGACGCCCAGGGCGGCGCCAGAAAGGCCAAGGCCGCGCAGCGTGACCCTCGCAGCTCCAGGGCGCAGGGAGGAGCTCCTCGAGAATCTAAGCTCAAGCACCGCCCGGATAGACCCGATGCGCCCTGTGTCTCGGTTCTCGAAGAAGCGATGGGTGACTTCAGCGACGCGGGGGCCGACGCGGAGCAGGAGGAGTCTGCAGAGATTGCGCCCGAGGAGCACGACGGCCAGCCTCCTGCGAAAGCGGGCGAGGTGGCGGCGGCGGCGGACGACGGGAGCCAGCAGGGTAAGAAGAAAGCGTGTGCTTTCTTGTGCGGGGCGATCTGCTGGGTCACGCCCGACCCGACGGCGCAGGCGGTGAAGGGGGTGAAGCGCACGAGCATTCGTTGGGCGTATGACAAGGAGGATCTCGTGGAGAGCAGTGGCCAGGGCACGTCGTGCTGGTACTGCGACCGGACCTGGGAGCAGGACGCCCACGAATACCCAGATCGCGACAGGGCCAAGTTCCTGGGAGAGTTGTCCAGGAACGGCGACACCCTCGCGAAGTTCGGTGCGAAGCGAAAGCTGACGGTGAGGAGGGCGATCGAGAAGGCAGAGTCGAAGACTGCCAAACGCTCAGGCCGCGGCAGGGCAGCCGGAAGCTCTTGGCCCTCTGGCTCTGGGTTCAGACTTGGATTTTGTGGCCGCGGCCCTCTAGCGGGGCCCCAAACTTTCGGGGGCGTGGTCCAGTGGGCCTAGTCCATCCAAATCGGGTCCGTTTCTCTGGTGTTTGTTGCCCCGTTTGGTCTTCGGCCATTTGATTCAGAGGCCAACTTGCGGTTGTCTCGCTGAAGGGGGCGTCAAGAGAGTGAGTCTCCATCGCAAGAAGTTTCAGAAGTCCTATTTGAAGAAGCCAGCCATGCACTTCTAACCAGTTGCCTTCGGCGCATCTCCCGCCACCGCGCCAGGCTGCGCGTCGGGGGAAGGGGCTCGCGGTTCGCCTCCTTAGGGTTTCTGGGGGGGCAGGTTCGAAGCCTCTGAAGGTTTTCCGCGGGCAGCGCTGGAGCTTCCGAAGCTTCGAGGGGCCCGAGGGCGCTTGGAGACAGCCCCCCTGCCAGGGGGCCTCTTCCTCCTCTTTGTCCTCGTTGTTCGTTTCAAACTCGTTCGCGAAAAAAGAAATTATCCCAGTGCGCCTAGGAGTTGGAGCCCGTAGGGAAGCAGCCAGTAAAGCTAAGCTAAAGCTAAGCTGAAACTTAGCCAAAGCTGAGCTGAAGCTAGGCTAAAGCTACGCTAAGGCTGAGCTAAAGCTAAAGCTATGCTGAAGCTAAGCTAAAGGCTAAAGCTAAGCTGAAGATCAGCTAAAGTTAAGCTGAAGATAAGCTGGAGCTAAGCTACAGCTAAGCTGAAGCTAAGTCGAAGCTAAGCTGAAGCGAAGCTGAAACTAAGCTAAAGCTAAGCTAGAGCTCAGCTAAAGCTAAGCTAAAGCTAAGCTGAAGCTAAGCTAAAGCTAAGCGAGAGCTAAACTAACGCTAAGCTAAAGCGAAAGCTACAGCTAAGCTAAAACTAGCTTTGTTACGCTGTGCTGCGCTGTGATCTGCTATATGCTGCGCTGTGCTGTGCTGCGCTATGATATGCCATGATATACTATGCTATGCTGGGCTATGCTATGATATGCGGTGCTGTGCTATGCTGTGCTACGCTATGCTGTGCTCTGCTATGCTAAAGCTCAGCGAAGCTCATACGAAGGTAAGCTAAGCTAAGATAGACCTGAGCTAAGCTAAGATGGAATAAGCTAAGCTAACCTGAGATAAGGAACACTAAGCTAAGGGGGCGCATCTGGGGAACCGCGGGGCGGATGCCGGGGGAACCGCCCGGGGCGAGCCCCCTGCCCAGCCCTTTCAGTTCACCGGCCCCGGGTCCTCTTCGAGCCTGTCGGGACTTCGCCGGGGATTTCCAAGGGCCGGATGGTGGCCTCTTGGGCGGGAGTTGGCCCTCGCCCAGGCGTCGTGGGAAGAAACGCGCCGAGGCCCGCGAAGGATTTGAGAATTCGGGTTCTGGTCTACGAGAACCTGCGGGCGCGCACGCGCCGCGCCGCAGGGCACGGTGGCGGACTTTTGGGAAGCGTACCTCGCGAAATTCGGAGATCCGACAAAGAAGGAGAACAAGGGCCGTGGCCATGAAGTTCGAAAGATCGGAGGGAGGAAAGGCGCGCTTGCCCCGAAGGAGGACGACCCCAACGCCCCGATGGAATTCATCCAGGAGGAGGGGGCGGCGCTCGAGGAGGATAAGGAGGAGGACGTCGGCTCCACCGACGGGGGCGAGGATCTCGCGGATAGCAAGTTTGCTTCGATGGCCATGGAGGCCAACGAGGAGCACGCGCGAGCCGCGCAGGGCCAGATGGCCAGCCTTCTGTCTGAGATCAGCAAGGAGGAGAGCGGGCAGGAGCTACAGAAATACAAGGATAAGAAGGCTGCCCGAAAGAAGAAAAGGAAAGCGGCTCTGAAGGCTGGGAAGGATCTCCAGGAGAAGACGAAGGCGCGCTCCAGCTTCTTCATGGATGTGGGCACTTCAGATGAGGATAGCAGCAGCGGCGTGGTCGTGACTAAGAGGAAGAAGGCCGCAGGGAGCAAGACCCCCGTTTCCAAGTCCACCGCGAAGGCCAGCAGGGTCCAAGACGGCGAAGGCGGAGATGACGGAGAGGGCCCTCGGGATGGCGATGGCCATGGCGATGTCCAGGTTGTCGGCGGCGGCGACAACAAGAAGGCTCGTGGAGCGCCGAAGAAGGACGGGCTTCTCATGGCTCAGAGTTTGTGGGCAAGCTTCGAGAAGGCCGAGGAGGGGAGCCTCTTTTTCACAGACCCGAAGGTTTCAGACGTCCAGAAGCGATTGGTCATTCGCTGGGCTAACGACGTCAGGTCGAAATCTGAGGCGTGCAAAGATGCCAGCAAGAAGACGCTCCTTGAGTTGCCCGCCAAGCGTCTGAACATCGTTGAGCAGTGCATGAAGCTCTACAAGGCTTGGCGCACGCGGACAGAGAACACGCGGGTCTTGACTGATTTCAACGACGGCTTCGCCATCTTGGAGGCCTTCGCGCACAGCGCTCCCGCGCAGCAGATAACTTGCGGTTTCATGTGGGAATTGCGGAGCCAGATCAAGGCGCGCAGGGTGAGCAGAAACTTGGGGGATATGTGCCTGTTCGGTTTACGAGTCCAGGATGTTGGGCAGTCTGCTCGATGATATTTCCTGGGCCCAACACTCTGCGATCGCTTTGTGACGATTGATTGGCCGAGCGAATATGCTGCGTCATGTCATGGTTCGCACGCGGCATGACTCAATGACATGATGCGGCAT